GAGAGATGAGAATGAATTACCTAACACTAAATGTCTGCCTGTGTTTTATTGACCATGCAAAGGCATTCTGCTTTGTGGATCCTAACAAATCATGAATAACATTGTAGAGAATGTAAATTCTAGAATACTTAATTATGCTCATGCAGAAGGTGTACAGAGACCAAAAGGCATTGTTTCCAGCAGAACAAGGGGTGGTTTGGGATTGGAAAGGATATGTGTCAGGGTTGTATCCTTTCACCATACTTATTCAATTTGTTTGCTGAACAAATAATCTCAGAAACTGGACTATATGAAGAAGAACGCCCCATCAGGATTGGAGAAAGACTCATTAACAACCTGTGATATGCAGGTGACACAACCCTGCTTCCTGAAAGTGAAGATGACTTGAGGCACTTACTGATGAAGATGAAAGACTATTACAGCCTTCAGTAAAGACTATACTGTGAATCCTCACAACTGGCTCAACAGCAACATCATGATAAAAGGAGAAAAGACTCAAGTTGTCAAGGATTTCATTTTAACTGGATCCACACTCAATGTCCATGGACGTATTAAGAAATCAAACAATGCTCAGCCATAAGCAAATACCTTGCGGGTATAAATCACTGGGTATGGAGGCTCAGGACCTCAGAATCAGGCTCCACTGGTATAACATAGTCCTCAAAGACCACGTTCTACATCCTCCTTCGGTGAGTAGTGACTAGGGTTTTAAGCTTGTGAGCAGCCATCTAAAGCGCAACTATGGGTCTGTCCCTGACCGGAGCAAAGAAGAGTGAAGAGAATCGCAGATGCAGGAAGCAATTAGTCCAGAGGACTAACAGAGTGTGTGAATCCCAGCCTCTACAACCCTGAGGCCAGAAGAACTCAACGGTGCCTGGCTACCACTGACCACTCTGGAAAAGATCACAATAAGAAGTCCCATATAGATTGGGGGGAAATGTGGAACAAAATTAGGAAAAAGATCATGCTTACTGCTCTGATGAAGACTGGTAAACTATGGCCCTGAAACACCTTTCAAGCTAGGAACTGCACTTAACCCCTGTGACTCACATGGCAGCCAAACAATAGGCAGGCCTATAAGGTGAAAAGTAGTATCAGGAGGCTATGCACTCGTTAGAACCATCAAGCATATGACACCAAGAGGATAGCATTTGCCCAGGGATGGAGCTAGGAAGGTGGGAGTGGATAGGAAGAATAGATGAAGGAACTACTGGTCTTTCCCCGTCTGCAGCAAAAAAGAGTGAGGAAAACCAAAGACGCAAGGAAATAATCAGTCCAGAGGACTACTGGGCCACATGAACCTCCACATGGGCTTCCACAACCCTGAGTCCAGAAAAACCAGATGGTACCTGGCTACCACTGCTGACTGCTCTGAAAGGGATCACAGTAGGAGGTTCCAGAGAGAGCAGAAGAAAGATGTGGAACAAAACTCAGCATCATAAAGGCCAGGCTTACTGATCTGATGGAGACTGTGGGACCCCTGAGACTATGACACTTAGATGTCCTTCAAGCCTGGAGCTGAACTCACACCCAGGCTCAACTTTTTCAGCCAAAGGACAGGCTTATAAGGTGAATAGTAACACAAGGGAGGTATGTACTCATTACAACAATCAACCATAGAGAGCAAAAGGACATTTGCCCAGAGATAAAGGTCAGAAGGTAGGAAGAGACAGCACACAAGGACAAAGGGACATGGTAAACACAGGGAGCAAGTGGGAAGAGTGCGGTTAACACTGTGGGGATTGCAATCGATGTCACAAAACAAAACGTGTATGAATTACTGAATGGAAAACCAATTTGCTCTGTAACCTTTCACCCAAATCACAATAAAAAATTTAAAAACAGAAAATCAAATGATGTATTGCACTGGGCAAATCTGCCGCAAAAGATCGCTTTAAAGAATTAAAGCACAGGTGTCACTTTGAGGACTAAGGTGCACCTGACCCAAGCCATGGTATTTTCAACTGCCTCATATGCATGAAAACCAGGACAATGAATAAGGAAGATCAAAGAAGAATCAATGCTTTTAAATTGTGGTGTTGGCGAAGAATACTGAATATACAATGGACTGCCAGAAGAACAAACAATTTGTCTTGGAGGGAGTACAGCCAGAATTCTGTTCTTAGAAGCCAGAAAGGTGAGACTCTGTCTAATGTACTTTGGGCATCTTATCTACAGAGTCAGAGAGAAAGAGGAAGACCCTCAATAAGATGGACTGACAGAGTGGCTACAACCATGGGTTCAAACACAGCAACAACCATGAGGCTGACGCAGGACCAGGCAGTGTTTCATTCTGTTGTACACAGGGTCACTATGAGTTGGAACCGACTCACAGGACCTAATAACAACAAACCTAGCAAAATCAGACACAGCCTCTCGAAGCAGAGACATGCCTGCTGGCACACAAAGAGCATTTGGCAGAACCTTCTCTGTGAAGAATTTCATTAAAAACACAGTTACTTAAACTTCACCAAAAAGAGGATCTACTGTTGTGTAACAGATTTCTGATACACGAATGTGCTGCCCGTAACCACATCTAACCTGATACCACAGCAACTTAGAAAAGCTATTTTGCAATCACAACAATAATGTTCTGGGAACAAAAGTATAAATGTTTATAAACTTGGAATGCAGATATTCTGTTTAAAATAAAAAAAAACTCATAGAGCCTCAGCAGTGGAAAAGATTTTAGAGGTCTAGTTCCTCCTCTCTTCCCAGGCAGGGATTCTCCCCTCCACCTCCGTCTGGCACATTTCTTGGGAAGAAGTATCCACTAACTCCACTACCAAACACTAGTACCAGTTACTGAATACTTATGCCAGGCATTCTAGATACATTACCTCATTATTTTATATAATTGCCTCAACAAACTACAAATGAGTTGTATGAGGATTACCTCAATAGCTACAAACAAAGAAACAGAAACTTTCAAAGGCTTAAAAGCAGTCAAGCTGGATTCAGAAGAGAACATGGAACAAGGGACACCACTGCTCATGTCAGAGGTATCTTGCTGAAAGCAATGAATACCAGAAAGATATTTATCTGTGTTTTACTAACTATGCAAAGGCATTCACTTGTGTGGATCAAAACAAGTTATGGATAATATTGTGAAGAACCAGAGTGTCAGAACACTTAACTGTTCTCATAAGGAACCTGTACATAGACCAAGAGGCGGTCGTTTGAACAGAACAAAGGGATACTGAATGGTTTAAAATCAAGAAAGGTGTGCATCCAGGTTTTATTCTTTCATCATACTTATTTAACCTCTATGCTGAACAGACAATCTGAGAAGCTGGCCTCTATGAAGACAAAACACAGCATCAGGATCGGAGGAAGACTCATTAACAACCTGAGATACACAGAGGACCCAACTCTGCTTGCATGAAAAAGACTGAAGCATTTACTGATGAAGATCAAAGAGTATAGCCTTCATTATGGATTATACCTCAACATAAAAAGAACAAAAGTCCTCACAATTGGACCAATAAGCAACATCATGATAAATGGAGAAAAGACTGAAGTTGTCAAGGATTTCATTTTATTTGGATCCACAATCAACACTCATGCAAGCAGCGGTCAGGTCAAATGATGTATTGCACTAGACAAATCTGCACCAAAAAATCTTTCAAAAAAGTGTTAAAGAGCAAAGATGTCACTTTAAAGGCTAAGGTACACCTGACCCAAGCCATGGTATTTTCAGTCACCTCATATGCATGTGAAAGCTGGACAATGAATAAGAAGACTGAAGAAGAATTGATGCATCTGAATTGTGGTGCTGTTGAAGAATGGGAAAATACTACGGACTGCCAGAAACAACCAACCAAATCTGTCTTGGAAGAGGTGCAGCCAGAATGCTCCTTAGAGGAAAGAATGGCCAGACTTTGTCTCTCATATTCAGGTCATATTGTCAGAAGGGATCAGCTCCTGGAAAAGGTATCACGCCTGGTAAAGTAAGGGGGTCAGCCAGTAAGGGAAGACCTCAATGAGACTGACATACTGGCTGCAGTGATGGGCTCAAACATGGTAGCAATAGTGAGGATGATGTAAGATGAGGCAGTGTCTCGTTCTGTTGTGCTCAGGGTCACTGTGAGTTGGAACCAACCTGATGGCACCTACCAAGAAGTAACTTACCTAATGATACCCGATTAGGAACTACAAAACCAAGATCCAAACCTGGGCCCTGTCTGACTGAATATACAACTTTCCTTCCACTCCCCCCAACTAAAGAGAGGCTGTGGTCCAACACAGGGCTGACTGAAGAAAGATAAAACCCACAGTGGCACTGGAATCACACTGTACTGAAAATATACTTTCTGCCTACAAACTAGAAAAATCGACTTACAAAAATATGCAGAAGGGAAAAAAATTCCATTTTCCATTCTAAAAACTATAGTAAAAAGTAGAAAGGAATTATTTCTGGGTTATGGAATTGTGAACAATTTCTTTGTTTTTTCTGTATCTTTTTCCAGTTTTTAAAAGAAATACATTATTTTTGTCATGAGAAAGTATTTATTAATTTAGGAAAATTTCAAATACATGCAAAAGGAGTAATATAATAAACCCCAAGCCCCTATCAACCAATCTGGACACAAATTATCAACACAAGGGCAACCTTGTTTCTTCTATACCCTAAACCACTTTTCCCTCCACCCACAATGAATCACTTTAAAGCAAATCTCAGGTATCATATTTCATCCAATAAGTACTTTTGTTTGTATTTCTGAAGGGCCATTTAAAAAAAAAAAAAAAAAAACATAATCACACCTAAAAAATTAATAATACACATTACTTTATTAATCAGAAAAAAAAAAAAATGTTTTAAGAAAGTAAGATACTTGAGAGAAAAAAAGGGAAGAAAATGTTTAACAGCATTACTGCCTGAACAGCTTACATATGACTCTGCTTTACCTAAGAAGTCCCACTGCATGTTTGTTCCTTTAGGACACAATATAAACTGGTGGAAATGTCTATTTCTAGTTACCAATGTTTCTAGGATTTACCTGTTGAGAACTGCTTCCTTGTCTCCCAGACGACTTTTAATTTTACTTGTCAGATAGTCCAAAAAGAGCGTCCAGATATCCAAACAGGAGAAGTAACCTTCATGAGTAGGCTATAGTGCAAAAGAAATCCAAACAATGAAATTACTTAATGCAACTATTCCTTAGAAACACACACACCAGCGTTTACATCCAGAGTTGTAAAACCACAGCCTAGATTCCCTCAGTTTCGGTATCTACAACTGGTGGCTTTAATTCTTCGCCACTGGATTCTGTTGAGCCTAACAAGACAAGGGTATATGATGCAGGACAAACTGAGTTACAAAATAAGTCAAGCAAAAACTTATCTTACAATCTGAGCCCATGGGAGACTGCTCTTACAGCTCATCCAATTCAAATTTATTGTAGAGATTAAGAAACTGAGATCCAAGGATGTGATATGCTCAAAGTGAGGGTAGGAACAGACCCCTTTACCTCCAACCCCTTTACCTTTCTACCACATGCCATTTCTATTTGTCCATCCAAAACCAAAAATAAGTTTCAGTGACTCCAAAGGTGACAGGTTTACACATTTGAATGTAAGAAAGGTAACATGTGCAGTCAGATAACAGACTGAAAATGAGCCTGTTAAGTCTGACCCTCAGGGCATTATCCCATCTGCAAGAGTACAGGTGTCAAACAGGCTAAGAGCAACCTCTAACCTGGTGTCGAGGACAAATTAAAGGCAGAAGAAAAGAGCAAGTTTTTCCAAGGTCCTAGTGCCTGAACCAGTATACTTTCTCAAGAGCCCTGAGAATCTATTTCATGTAAAATCCATAACCTACACTCTCCAACATCTAGCCCTCCCCATACACATTCAGTTTCAACTGGGGCCTTCAATCTCACATATTTACACTCAAAGTCTCTGTATCTACCAGAATCCTTTGGACTTGCTAGTGACTGCCTCATTGAATCACGTATTTGGTAGCAGGATCAGACATGGAAAGAAATAATAGCATCACCTTCTTGGATCAGTTTCTTTCTGTTTCTCATCCAGAAGGAAATTGAGAAGTGTGCACGGGCACATGAGGAATTTGCCCAAGGAATAACTAACACAGGGTGGTAGTCTCCGTAGGAGTTCCACACACAAGCTGGTATCTAAGACAGAAAAACTTAAGAAGAAAAAAAAAAGAAAGAGGAAGGCGGGGGCAGCCTCCAACCTCACAACCCCGGAGTAACCTGAACTAGACTTCCATGGCTCAGTCAGGAGCACTGATAGGAGTATCCTCAGAAGACAAAATGACCACTGCTTATCTCCACTTCATACATCACAAAACCCAGGTTGATACCCATAATGACATGAAACAGGCCAGGATGATAACCAGAAAAAAGCACAGTAAGCTGTGTGGAAACAATACAGGTAGCCGATGTACGGGCCACTGGACATCCATGAGACTGGGGCTTGTCCTGACTTCAACTTGCTGAGCTTGCCTTAAGTAAGTCACCTAACTCGTCTGTCCTTGCTTTGAAATGTTCAATGTTGTTGTTGTTGTTATGTGCCGTTGAGTCAGCCCCGACTCATAGCGACCCCTCCTTGGGTTTCCGAGGCAGTATTACTACGGAAGTAGGATTGCCCAATCTTCCTTCCGAGGAGTGGCTGGTGGGTTTGAACCGCCAGCCGTCTGGTTAGCAGGCAAGTGTCTTAGCCACTATGCTACCAGAATTCAACAGCTCCCTCAAAAGTCCAGAAATGATCAGAGCACATGTGGAAGTGCTTTTGAGAAAAAACACCACAAAGTTTTACGGCTACATCAAAATATTTCACAATTCTACATATCACCCTTTGATTTAAGGACTTACTATGTGGCTCAAGGCTGGGAGAAAAAATGGGTAGGCAGACACACCCTTTGTAGGACCTGAGCCACCATCTTTCACATCTGTATCTGAAGGCCCCCTGTTGGGGACTTACGAGCTATACTGCCTGCCCATGCTCCCACTGCCTCTGACAGTCAAGGTCATAAAGATTATGACCTCTCTACTTTTAGACTCACCCAACTTCCTAGAGCCCTCACAGATCCTTTTCAAAATGCACATGTACTCAGGTTTACTTTCCAAATTCCAGGGCTGATTAATCACTAAAGATCTTTACAGACTTCTTTAAGAAACTAAGGATACTAATCTTATCTTCCAAATGCTTTACAGTGTTTAGTTTCATTTGTATTGGTCTATTTGATCTTCACAATAGTGACAAATATGTCTTCTTCCCTTTTTACTGGTAAAGAAACCAAAGCTATGAAGTAAATTCACCAGTCTAAGGTAGCAAAACAAGTTAAGAAACAGTATCAGAACAAGAATATGGATCTTAAGGCTCCTAGCCCAAAGCCCCTTTCCCTAGACTGTCTCTGACACTGTTTTAGGAAAAATGAAAAAATGCAAGACCAAGAAGGAATTTCAGAAGGAAGATGGGGCAATCTACTTCCGTAGTGATACTGCCTAGGAAACCCAAGGAGGGGTCGCTATGAGTCGGGTCTGACTCGATGGCACATAACAACAACAACAACAACAAGGAATTGAAGATACAGTAAGATTAGGAGCAGGAAGACAGAGAAACCATGTTTACACAGGAACTGAAAAGGCTCAGCAAGCAAGGAAAGTAATGGTGGAGGCAAATTAGTGGTTGGAGGGACCACCAACAAGCCAAGTGGACTACAAGAAAGATGAAAGAAAAGGAGAAATGGTTAAAGAAAGGTACTAGTATCATCCATTGTCTTATTACTTGTTCTTTCAAAATATACTTACCGGCAATGAATTTTAGAAATAAAAAGCAAAAATATCAATACACTCATAATAACACTCCAGAGTAGTCTCATTTTCTCACTTTATAGATAAGAAAATTAGGATACAGTACTATCACACTGTTAGTGAGGAGATGAGAACTCAGGGTTCTCTCTTTCTCTGAAGATCTTATTCTTACACTTATCCCAAAGAACTCTCCTGCAGTAGACCCTGATCTTAGAGTGCACCCACCTCTTCTCCACTGTGCGTCTCCAGCAAAGGGCTGTCTACCCAATAAGAAACCAGGACAGAGCACGTTCCAGGCTCTTGGCTCCTGCCCGTCCTCAGTGACAGACTCTTGTTTTGACCTGAAGGACATCTACTCACACAGTCCACAACCCTGTCCCCTAGGAAGGAAAGTCCTCATACTGGAAGCTAAGAAAGCAGAAGGGGGCACAGCTGCAAGGGGTCTCCAGGTAGAGGAAGAAGAAAGGAAGTTTGGTGTTTGCTCATGGCCACATGTCTACTTCTTTTCCCAAATATAAAATGTTTCAGTTCAACAGAAAACGAACAGGTGTTGGAGTCTAGTGGAAAAAATCCTAAAAGATAAGCACTGGCAAAGACCCTGAAGACTGCCCCCTCCCCAGTCCATCTTCTCTGGCAAGGAAGCAGAAATCTAAAGAAATTTAAAGACCTGTTCAAAGACACAGACCTAATGGAAATCACTTGAATTCAAATACAAACCGTTTGAGCCCAAGTCCAAAAAAGCAGACATAAAATGTGTACTTTACAACACTGTCTGACCAGAAGAACTAGATGGTGCCCGGCTACCACCGTCATCCACTTGGAAGGGGATCTATGTAGGAGATCCTCGATAGAGAGGGAGTACAATGTGGAACAAAACTCAAAATCATTTGTTGTTGTTGTTGTTGTTAGGTGCCGTTGAGTCATTTCCGACTCATGGTGACCCCCTGCACAGCAGAACGAAACACTGCCCAATTCCACGCCAGCTCCACGATCCCTGCTATACCCATCATCATTATTGAGCCCATCATCGCAGCCACCGTGTCAATCCATCTCGTTGAAGGCATCCCCCCCTTTCGTCGACCCTCCACCCTACCAAGCATGACATCCTTCTCCAAGGAATGGTCCCTTCTGACAACACGACCAAAATAGGTGAGACAAAGTCTCACCATTCTCGCTTCCAAGGAGCATTTCAGGTGCACTTCCTCCAGGACAGATCTTTTAGCAGTCCATGATACTTTCAGCATTCTTCGCCAGCACCGCAACTCAAAAGCATCAACTCTTCTTCGGTCTTCCTTATTCATTGTGCAGCTCTCACACATGCACACGAGGCGATTGGAAATATCATGGCTTGTGTCAGGCGCACCATAGTCCTCAAGGAGACATCCTTGCTCCTCAGCACTTGAAGCAGTTCCTTTGTGGTTGACTTTCCCAAAGCTACACGTCGTCTGATGTCCTGACTGCTGCTTCCATTGGCATCGATTGTAGAACCAAGCAACGTGAATTCCTTGACAACCTCAATCTTCTCTCCATTTATTGTGATG